AGCCCCTGTCTGTTGAGTCTTTGTGTTCCGATATTATTGTGTTCTGCTTTTGTGCGTTGGTCGAGCGACATGGGTGGTGCTGCGGTGCTGCGGTGCTAGCCCCACCCTCGCTCACTCCACCTTTTGACCTGTTCTCCCGAACCAAGGTCTCATCAATACAACATCATTTCCCCAGCAGCCACGAGTATACGAACAATGCACAACATGGTCACATCGCTGAGCCTGGCTAGCTCTGTTCTGTGTGGGGTGTCTGCATCTCAGGTATGAGTCTTAGCGCCTTTACGATGCGGAAGGCAACAGCGTTCTAAGGCGTTGTGGCCCCGGGCATGGCGCTCTGCGGCGTGCTTCTGCTCGGCTCGAGCGTGTTTATTACAGCAGGTGAACCATAGAGAGATGGGTTGAACACTTGACACGGTTGGTTCCCGTGGTCACAGGCTAACCCACCTGTTCTCAAATAATATGGACTCGAAGGTGACGCTACGTACATACAAGTCGACTTCGTCTCGGGACCAATCAACTGTTTGACTCCCACATGATGCGCAGCGCGTGTAGACTTCAACCCCACAAATATTTCTGCGTTTCTATGTACAACTCGCTGTCTTGTCGTGCCTCCATGTTGTTGCAGGGGCGGTGATTGGTGCGGTCATCACCCTCGCCGGTTCATACTTGGTCGGAATACAGCGGAAATACGACGAGGAGATACTGAGCGACTTGATCGAAGGCGACCTCGTAGCAGCATGGTCGAACCCAACGAGGGAAATGCACAAAGCCGCGGAAACGATCCAGTGCTGCTTCAGGTGCAAAAAACGTGGCAAGCGTACCGCGATAGTGCACTGCCTCCTACAGTCGACAGACACGTTTGTGCGCCTTGTTAGCGTAGAACTCAGAGCATGTTGCATTCTTGTGCTGCCATTAGTAAATGTGAATGGGTAAACCAGTCAAACTTCTGGAACTTCGGAATCCGGTCATTCCGAGGTCGACTTGAAGGTTGAAGAGCTCAAGTACGGCCGGGTCTAAGTACAACTCGCTGTCTTGTCGTGCCTCCATGTTGTTGCAGGGGCGGTGATTGGTGCGGTCATCACCCTCGCCGGTTCATACTTGGTCGGAATACAGCGGAAATACGACGAGGAGATACTGAGCGACTTGATCGAAGGCGACCTCGTAGCAGCATGGTCGAACCCAACGAGGGAAATGCACAAAGCCGCGGAAACGATCCAGTGCTGCTTCAGGTGCAAAAAACGTGGCAAGCGTACCGCGATAGTGCACTGCCTCCTACAGTCGACAGACACGTTTGTGCGCCTTGTTAGCGTAGAACTCAGAGCATGTTGCATTCTTGTGC